TGACGTGCCACAACTACATCTATGCTGAGAAGACGAGTAACAGTCCGCTCCGATCCCATCTCGATGCCTACCACCGCGACGAGTACGCCGGCTTGGCTGCGATCGGGCGCTGGGTGAACATGCTGCCCAGCTACAAGGACCAAGTGAAGGCAGCGCAAGAAGTTGCGGATATCGACCAGAATTATCCGGTGGTGGAGTATTCTCGCGAGGAGTTCCACAGGCGACTCGTGAACTGGGTGGTCGTGGACGACCAGGTCAGTACGATTTCTCTCGTTATGTGAAGCAGTTATTGACGTCAACATCAGGCGATCTCGGTGGTCGAGAAACCTGAATTCCGATACCTCTTACGTCTGCTCAATCCCGATCTTGCCGACGAGGACATTCCGAAGCGCAACCATATGCGCTCGTTGATTATGGCGCAATTCACGCGCACATTTGATCAACTCAAGATTCAGCTCACGGTAGGTATCACACGATGAATGAACAAGGCACTGCTCACCCTCCTGATAGCACTCGCGCGGTCAGGTATCTCTGACATCCGATGGTTGGGATACTCAAGGTGAGCACGCACAGCAATCAAGCGAGTACATCACTGACAGTGCGCCCTACCAGCTCGACGCGCTTATGTCGGTGTGACGGGCCATTGGATTGCAAAAGGAGTGCTGCCTACGGATCTTGTGATGAAGTCAGCAGTTGTCGGTTTTAGGAGGCTCGAAGGGAGCCATACTGGTAAGTCCGAACGTGAACACCTAGTTACTTTCTAATTTTATCACGTAGGCGTAAACCTCGCGAATGCCGTCCACTTCGTTCTGGAGCGCGCCGGTGTTGTATCTAAGGTAACCACATCTGCCTTATTCGAAGTAATCTAGTAACTGATCATATTAGGTCGGACGATTCATGATGGACTCCGCGACAAGCAATGCAAAGATGATGGAAGAGCTGAAGAAGAAGTTCGACGAGGACCCGAACGCTCGTCGTGACTTCGACCCGAGTAACAACCAGATACATTGCTTGGGCCATGGAGTCAACCGAACCTCGCAGACAATGATAACTTACATGGGCATCCAGCCCCCTAGCGACAATGGCTCCGAATCCTCGGCCACTCGCGGCGGCAACGCCGTGAAGTTCTCGGTTGTTTCCAAGACAAGGGAGATATGTGTTGCCGTTCGTGCGTCTCCTAAGTGCCGCGACTCTTGGGCGACCTCGATTGCGATTCATAATGCTGCTGCTATGGTCAAGAACGCGGCGCTTGTGGCGGGCATCCCAAAGATCGACATCTTCAAAGAGGACATGATCTTGGTGGCCGACATGCGGATCCGCTGGGATAGCACGTACGTTATGATCATGCGGTTTTTGACGATGCAAGAGGTGAGTTATCTCTGCGCACTGACGACAGATACTGATCTTATATGACATAGGTATACAAGGTGTTCTTGGAGCAAAACCCGGAGTTTGCGAGGTCGTACCCACCTCTGACGACCACCGAGAATGACGTGCTGACGGAGACGGGCCTTGTGCTCATGGTAGGTCATTCCTCCAACCCACATGAGCGCGATTGACAACCCTATGCAGGCTGGTCATAATATCCAGATGGTGCTGGCTGGAGAGCGGCAGCCGCTGCTCGCCGATGTCATACCGCGGTACGAACTCTATTTGACGAACATGGAGAGGCTCGCGGAGCGTAGGCCGCATCTTCAAGGTGTCATCCAAGCCGGTTTGGATGTCGCGATCAAGTACTACAAATACATGGACCTGACCGACAGCTACATCCTATGCATGTGTAGGTACATTCCGACCTTATTGACTAACCTGCTAATCCACTTTCTAGTCGTACATCCGAAATACAAGATGGATCACATGCGCGACCACTGGGAGCAGCGCTACTACCAGCGTGCCATGACATCGTCAAGAGTAAAGTAAGTAGACCACTATTCTATGTAGTGTGGCTACTAATGCGACATTTGCGGTGCAGATGCGGGTTTACGCGGCTCGGCGACCGCCTGCACGTCGAGCAGGACCTTCGCAGCCGCAAAGGCCTCAGGCGTTGCGCAGCATGTACGAGGCAGCTGATCAAATTTTCGTTGGTAACCTGGGCGACGACGAGCCAGCGGCCCCTGCTCAAAGCGCCCTTGACGCGACTGTCGAGACCGAATACCACTCTTGGCTCGAAAGAGGGATGGGGAATGAGCTATCCGACGTCCTCGCGTACTGGAGTGTAAGTGAATGATTGCCTGGCTATGATACTTTGTACTCATTGTGCCCTCTCAGCTGCCTGCGGCACAGACGCAGTGGCCTACGATCTTTGCTATCGCGTTGGACTATCTTCCGCGCAGGCAACATCGGTTCCCTGCGAGCGAGTATTCTCTTCTGCAGGGCAGACGGACACAGCCCGGCGCAGCCGCCTCAGCCCAGATCTTATGGAAGCATTGCAAGTGCTGAAGTACCTCATCCGGCAAAGCCGCTTGTCGTTTACTGATCACCTCCAGGGTTTCGAGTTTATACAGGAAATGCTGGTGAGGCAGGCTCGCGCTGAAATGGCCTATAATGAGGACGAGGAGCTCACTTTCGAAGACCTCCTCGACTTCATCTAATGTCTTTGTGTTACCATCGTGCTGCTGCTGTGTTGCCTTGTAGTTGTCTGGCCTCGTCCGAGTCTCCTCGATGTACTTGTATCACGCCGCCTCGTACCGCGCTGTCTCGTATCATGAATATCACAATGACCTGATGTACTAGTAATGTGGAATGAAATGTGCTCGTATGCATTGCTATCTGCCCAACGACTAACAGTGACTCTCATCGGCTGGCACTACTAGTCCATTTCCTCACAGTGGCGGCGGTGACTTTGCCGCCCTCTTCCTACTCTCACATCCACCACCACCCTCAGCATCATCCCCGCTGTATTGCCTTGTCTCTTCAACATGATGCGTAACTCAAAAGCAGCTCCAAGATACGAACAAAAATTTAGGAAGGACGAGCCCAGGAGGGTCGCTGGGCGGCGCGCAGATTCCGGTGCATAACTCGACCTGGGACGCGATCTCTGCATCCACCATAACCACCTCCTGCTTTGAGATCATCGCCTCCGCTGCTACCTCAAACGTCCTCGTCTGCAACGTGATCCCGTTGCCTCGTGTGCGTCCTCGCATCCCTTTGTCGCCGCTATCCGCGAACGACGCAGACCGTGCCCGGCGCACGCTCAACCGCGCCCCGTACGCTCAACCGCGCCCTACACGCTCAACCGCGCCCTACGCACGCTCAACCGCGCCCGGCGCACGCTCAATCGCAGACGTGCTCAGCGACCCGCCGCGGTGCGAGAGCGGCTAGCAATTGCAGCCGCAACATTTTGGGAGGGAGAAAGTAACAGGCTCGGAGGTGAGTATATCTCCGTTTCCTGTTCAGTCAGTTCATAGCAGTATTGCTCACCTGCATTCGCAGCTCGGTGTATGCGTCCTCTCGTGGTCCACATGGGCAAGGACGACTTGCATCCGGGCACCCTCGAAATGTGCCTCGAACGGCATCCCTCCACCCGTGGATCTCCTCCCGCCCGGTACTGACCTCGACCACACCCCGGTCACTCCCCGTCCTGCCGAGCTCATCACTCGTCTCCCGCTCTCTATCTTCCCGATGGAGCTGTCCGAAGTGTCCCATCCGGTCTGCTCCAGACTCGACGGTCGCCGCCCTCGATCCACGCCGGCATCCGGTGTGTTTCTCCCGTCTTCCCGGACTCACCACCTCTCGTGGTTTGCTGGTCGACCCGGCTGGCATCCTCGACCGATGAAGGCACGACGAATCGCCGTCCGGCGAGCGGCGTGGGCGAGAGGGCGGGTGCGTGGGCGGATGGTGGTTGGCTCGGGTTGGGTGCCCGGGATGCTACTGTCAGGTGAGCATGGTTGCCCGTTCGAAGACAAGACGGTGCTGCTCACGTCCTCCCGAACGAATTTCGCCAGTCCGGCTTTGCTACCGGCTTTGGCCATGGAACTTGAGTCACCAGCTGTTTGTCCTCGCGGCGCGCCTGCCATGGCGAACTTGTACCGTCTCGGTCGGACACTCTTGTCGGATCACACAGACGGCAACTCGAGCTACCTGTTCGACAAGAAGTCGGTTTTCACTGCGAAAGCGCTCAACATGGCGATTCCCGGCGGCCCGAAATTCGAGCCTCTGTATAGAGACATGGACAGCTTCAATGAGGACTGGAACGAGTTCAACGACATCAACAAAGTCATCATTCGACAGCAAATCCGGACTGAGTACAAGGTCGCTTTCCCCCATCTGTATAACTCCCTCCCTCGTTCCGTCCACATATCTCTGTATCACACACCGAAGAACGTCTACATTCGCACTGATGACCCTGACCTGCCCGCGTTCTATTTCGACCCTCTCATCAATCCTATCTCGCTGCGTGGCTTTACACCGAAGAATGTGCTACTCGTACCCCATGAGGACGCGATCTTCGGCCCCAACGATGCTGAGGATGACGACTTCGAGCTCCCTGGCGAGGTCGAGAACGATAACGAGAAGTCCAGCACGTCACATGATCACGTTCATTTGCGAGCGGCGACTGATGTGTTGCCTTGTCCCCGACCCTCATGTTGTCAGTGGTCCTGGCGTCCGCTACCGTTGTTTTGTAAGCCCACATGAACTCTTGCTCCATGAGTGAGGCGCTGACACTGCGAGCAGCGTCAACATTGTTGTACATAGTGTTATTGTATTGTATTGCTTGTAGGTGCTACCACTCGCTGATCTGGCGGCGATTACGATGCCAATGATATGTATCGAGTGTGGTAGGCGCTCGACATGGACATTCCGGAGGTCGATGCACCTATGGAGATTGCGGGTCGGTACCTGCTGTGGGAACTGATAGGAGCAGGGTCGTTCGGTGCGTACTAACTAGTGCATCAGGCCTACGTGCTGATCACCATCGACATCCAGGTCAAGTGTACAAAGCACTCGACATCTATGAGCATGTTGATGTTGCGGTGAAGCTGGAGCCATGCGACTTCCGGGTCAACCAATTGGAGAACGAGGAAGAGGTTTACGACGCTCTCAAATACGCAGAAGGCTTTCCCGCGATGCACGGGTTCGGTACGACCGATGAGGTGCATTACCTCGTAATGGACCTACTCGGGCCGTCATTGGAGATGCTGTTCCACTTTTGTGGGAAGCGATTCACTCTCGGGACAGTACTGCGGATTGCGTTGCAGGCAGTAGGTCGCCTGTTTGCTTATTCGATTTCAACTGACAATCTGCATCCATTTGTCTAGGTCGACCGGCTCGAAAGCCTTCACGTGAGGGCTACGTGCATCGTGACTTAAAGCCTGCGAACTTCCTGGTCGGTGTAGGCGGGCAGACAAGCCTGCTCTACCTCATCGACTTGGGTTTGGCTGTCCCGTACCTCGACATCGTCACTCGTGCGCACATCAAGTACAACGATGAACACGAGGCTATTGGGACCCCGCTCTTTTCGTCGATCAATATACACCACGGCATCGCGCACTCGCGTCGTGACGACCTCATCGCGCTGGCGTACATCCTCCTCTTCTTCGTTCGCGGCTCGCTGCCTTGGCAAGGCATCCCCGGGTCCGCCAAGACGAAGAGGAATGATCAGTTGGTAAGAGCCAAAGCCAAAGCCAAGCCTTCGCAGCTTTGCAAGGGGCTCCCTACTCCATTTTGCGTGTTCGTCGAGTACGTCATGAGGCTGAAGTTCGATGAACGCCCGAACTATCTATACATCCGCAACCTGCTTCGACAGTGCCGTTCAGGCGTCCCCAATGCGGGCGAGAACACGTACGATTGGGAGCAAAGGCCGGAAGATCGCGGTGTACGAGTGTAAGTAAGCCCACAAACTATTGCTCGTTCGATTAATTTGATTGCTCACAAGCACGAAGTCTTAGGTCCCAGAGCCAACCATCAGGAAAACTCACTTGTCTTGACAAGTGTATTAGGACCGTCATGGCTTGCAGACAGCACGACTCTTGGCAAGACAAGTCTCTGCTTTATGTGCTTGGACAGGACAGCCAGTACTTAAATATAAGATTGACTTTGTGCTTTCAGTATGTTGATGCAGGCAGACATTCTAAGCCTTGCTGACCTTGCATGTCATATATGACACTGCTTGCTAGCCAGGACGCATGGATCTTGTAGGTACATATCAGGGTACCCATGGCTTTCAAAAGCATTTGAGTCTTGTGGTACTTCTTACAATCAATACAAATCAATCGGAATTGAAACCGCGTTATCATTAAACAGGTGAGAAGTTGTTACACTTTGACGAAAAATTATACAAAGCACGACGGAGCGCGACACGGCGACAGATGACATAACACTGATCTACATAGATAGCCCCAACCTGTTCCATGCAGTTGTACCAGTAGTAGATATTCTAAAGACTGGTCAGGCAACGTTCTTGAATCTAGAATAATGAATGCAAAGCATGCTCACCGAGGAAATGGGCATTGGTTGAGGTACGCAGATGCTGGGGCTCACGCATCATCGGAGGGGTCTTGGGGACCTTCTTCTGGATAAATCAGTGCACAAATGTTGATCAGTTTGGCCCTGTATTTCAGGTACAGATGAACTCACCGTCATGAGGAGCAGAACCTTCAGCGTCGATCTCCGGCTCAACTGCGGCACGACGATCTACATGTGTGTTGTTGTTAGGTACTCATGAATTGATCTGACAAACTTACTGCCGGTCTGCCTCGTCGACGACGAAGACGACGGCTTCGTGGCGGCCTTCGCAGACGAAGACGACGGCTTCGTGGCGGCCTTCGCAGATGAAGACGACGGCTTCGCGCAGCCTTCGCAGCCTTTGTTGTCGCAGTAGTGTCGCCGACCTCGATATCACTCCAAGCGATGAATTGCTCGCCAATGCTGCTACCGGCGTCGTCATCATCTTGCGCGTCCTTCTTCGGGCTTTGTGTTCGTCGACTAGGGCACTGGAGCAACAGTTAGATACACATTTATTGACCGTAGCCAGAATATAAACTTACCTGACATTGGTCCAGATCATCTCCTTCAGCAACTGGTATGCTGCCGGTGCGTTGTGCTTGAACTGATCCAAGATCCCCATGACATTGCCCCACCTATGCACGCATCAGGTATAAACACAGCTAGACGGAGATATAACTCACTTAGGAGCGTACAGCTTGTTAGAGAATTGATGAGTCCCTGTGGCTATGTCCACCAACGCCGCCTCAATCTAGGAAACATTGTTCAATTATTGGCAGCACTGCGCACAAAGGTGAACACCGCTTACCGCGTGCAGACGATGGCTATGAGATTGTCGGGAACCTCACTGAAGCGATCGTACGCCGCGACCGACGCAGTGTCCCTGTGTCCGTGGAACCAGTGCTGCACAATGACGTCGGACAGCGCCCTGTGCTGGAACGGTTTCTTGCGGTTCACAACGCTCGCCTGTGGGTCACTTCAAGTGCACACATCAACAGTAGTTAGCTACTGACATACCTTCATGTCGACCTCATGAGGTTCGTCCGACTGCCAGGCGATGTCGATGTCGCCGAAAATGAAGTTTTGCATCGAGTACTTGCCTGTGTGTTGGACTTGAGGAGGAACGTTGCAGCCGCGACTCTCCGCTGCGTCGAGAGGCTGCCGAGGCCGTAAGCGTTGTCGACGACGGTCTTCGCCTTCTTCTTGACCTCGTTTCGGAGCTGAGACGCGCCCGTCCATACCTGCAAAAAGAGACTAAGATTGTATGGTGTGATTTGAACCGACGTACTTACAACGCTGGCGACCATCTTGCGAAGGTTGTTGTTGCCTTTCGCTCTCAGGGTCTTGAACCCACTGACAAGGTACGCTATCTTCTTACCGTCCTCGGCGCGATGTTTGCGAGCATCCCTCAGGGCTCTCTTGATGACCCTGTGTTTGTCGGGGAGCTGGCTGCTATTCTGCATCTTCTCGGCGGTCCATGCATGATTGAGGGAGAGGCGGAGGCGGAGATACATCTGTGAGCACGTAACGACCGGCCTGAGGGTCTCCGGGATGTCCCTGGCCTGCGCACGGCGACGACCTTCAGACTTTGGCCTGTCCGCGCTGCCGCGGCTGCGTCTGCCTCCCTTGCCTTTGGAACGCTGGGTCTTGCCCTTAGGGGCCTTGACAACCTGCAGAACATGGTGGTTAGAGCGATGGACTTGGGACAGTTGACTTACTATCACGTCATCCCCACTGTCCTCGTCCGTCCCTTCGTCCTCGCTGCTTTCCTCCGACACCTCGTCGCTGTCACTGCTGAGCTCGTCGTCTTCTTCCACCTCGTCCACCTCTGTCCCCATCTCGTTCTCCGACTCGGTGTCGGTGTCCAACCAGTCGCTCCGCTGCTTCGGCTTCTTCTTCTTCTCGATCGTTGTACCCTTGCCCTTGTTCTTGTCGACCACGTTCTGCATAATCTACGTCAAAATAAGTATCTACTGAGATCAATGCGCACCTTGACCCTTTTTGGAGGTGAGTCAATTACGACAGCGTCCATGCGCAACACCTTCTTGCCTTTGGCCGGCTGTGTGACAGCAGGTCGACGCTCTTCGCCGTCATTGGACGCACTGTCCCGGTCATCCCTGTTGTTCCGCTGCTTCGCCTTTGAAGCTTTGTTTCCCTTCGCCGAGGACGAGCGATTCTCACCTACGATATGAGTCACAGATTAGCTGACCGTCTAACGGAATACCCACGTACCGAGAGCCCTCGCAAGGCTACGCTCGTCTGGGTCGAGCGTCGGCCGCGTCCCGTCGTCTGGATCATCCTCAACCTCAGGTTTGTCCGTCGATTTCTTGCCATACGCAGGCCTTGGTTTAGGTTTGGCTTGCGATCGAGCTGCATTAGTAGTTGCCAGAGATGTCAGCTAGTATCGGACTCACCGCGCGGAGGCGCAGCGTCCATCTCTGTCTCCTCGGGCTCCACTTGCATTGCCTCCTCCTCCTCCTCGGACCTGATCTCCTTGTTCTTCTTCAGCTTCTTACGCCTCGGTTGCTCATCCTCGTCCTCGTCGTCCTCTCCGCCAGACGCATTCTCAGCGAGCAACATAGCGGTGCTTGTTTTATGAATGTCTATCGTCAGTTCAGCCATTAGTTCTGTTTCGTCCATCCCAACCCATGTGAATTGGGCACTCACTGGCTCGACGTTCGGCGGCCGCCTGCTTCTCGGCCTGCTCCATCTTCGCTTTCAGCCTGTCATACGTCCGCTTCTCGGACGGGGACAGAACGTCGGGCTGAGAGGTCTGGCCATCTCTCTCTGGTGTTTCCAGCCTGCTGCGCTTGGAGCCCGCGGCACCCTTCAATAAGGCTTTCGTGGTGGTTGCCTTCTTAGCAGCCGGCGCTGACTTGGCAGCAGCCCGACCAGTCTTAGCCTTCGTGGTCGGCTGGCCGCCAGACTGGCGTGCGGCATTGCGGAGAGACTGTCGGGTAGCCATTCAGAGGTGCAGTACATTCACTGGGAGCGAGAGCTGAGTGTTGAACGGTGAAAATAGGTATCAGATAACGCACCGTGTGAGCGGACTCTGACGCACCGTGTGAGCGGACTCTGACTCACCGCGGGATGAGGTTCTGGAAGTCTTCCGCTGGTCGTAGCAGTAGTGCGAGCCTGGTCGGAGGATGATGGAAGCCAAGGGCACGAGCATGGGACCGCACTGCGCAGGCATGAGCACATGAGATTCGCGGCTGGTTGAAGTTCTGGAAGCCTTCGGAGACGCGGTGTTGTTAGCGCTGAATAGAAACTACACAGTTGATCTACGTAAGCCTTACGAAACTTGACGTGCAGGCTGCGAGGTCCCAGCTTCAAGAACCTTACTTACCTCAAGATTTAAGAATTCATTTGCCGCAAAACATTCGCTGGAACAGAACGATGAAGTAATCTTGAGGCACCACGAACACAAGCATAATGCAAGCATATTCTTCCGACGATCAACTACACTATTTTCTGCTACTGTACAAGCTATCATCCGCCCACCACCAGCAGTCAATGATGGCCTTACCTATCGTGTTCGCTACGCGTTAAGACACGGCAACCGGACCACTCACGGGCGCACGGGCGCACAATGCTTCCGCGGCAATCCGCACGGAGGCGTGGGCGAGCGAAGGCAAGGCGGAGGCCACAGTGCGTCTGAGTGAGCCAAAGTGAGGGAGCAATCAGACCCGCCGAGTAGGCAACAGGACTACGCACCGGCGCACAATGGTTCCGCGGCAATCCGCACGGAGGCGTGGCAATCCGCACGGACGCGTGGGCGAGCGAAGGCAAGGCGGTGGCCACAGTGTGTCTGAGTGAGCCAAAGTGAGTGAGTGATCAGACCCGCCGATTAGGCACGGTCGCTCATGCTCGTCGAGCAGCAGCTGATCTCCGTCGATCGATCGCAGCGAGAGGGCGCAGGCCTGTTGCCAACTTACCGAATGGCACGCGCAAATAGCTATCTGGGACGGGCTGACGGCGCACGAGGGATGACGATTCTGGGCAGTTGAGAGATCGGGATTGCTAGCGCGATCACGAGCAGACAGGACAGATGTTCGTAGCAGCCAAGTGAGTTGTCAAATGGAGAGTGCATTTGGGAAGGCAGTCGGGTCGGCGGGTGGTGTAGCGTGAACGGTCCAGAGGTGGGGAGCAGCCGAGCATCTTCCGCAGACCCCTGTTGAGTTAGATCGCCAGGGAGGCCCACAGAGAAGAGATGATTGACTGCGCCTGGATGCTCTCGTGGCGGTCCGCCGAGACTGGCAGTGTCATGCGAGGCGCGGACAGTCTCGCCAGTGATTCCAGCCAGCGAGTCCAGTGGCGCAAGTCTTGCTGCGACTTGCTGCTGGTACCGGCGGCAGTGCCGGACATGGGCGTAAAGGTTAGGTGAGGTATGCACGGGGGCACGGACCAGCAGGGAAGGCGCTGAGGTGAGGATACGAGGAGAGGCTGAGCTGCAGCTCGCGTTCGCGCTGGGAAGTCTGTCGGTCGGCATATAGCAACTTCGCGGTGCACAATGTACGAGAGCGGGGGCGCATAACGCGAGGGTACGGGTGACGGTAGAGGGTAATGAACCGGAGTGCTTACTCTGTTTGCTACTCCTCGCGCCTCCATCCGACCATGCTTCCTTTCGCACTTGAGCTTTCCTAGCGCAGCCCTCCACATGATTGGCCCGTCTCCGCCGTGGGCGCGTTCGTTGAGTGCGTTCGTTGAGTGCGTCTAGATGTCCCTGTGCACGCGTCAACCGGGTGGTGTTTCCTCTGGCAGCCTCGCCGCGCGTGTTGGCGTGACCGTATCAGCTTTTCCGAGCTTGCCGTGGGAGGGGCAGCGGCGATTTGGCGACGGGGCGCACGGTAATTCCGCTCAACCTGGTAGGCGTCTTGCAGGCTGTCCGCGCGAGAGACGTAGGGACGAGAGTTGAGGACAGCTGAAGAAACGATACAAATTAGAGGATAAATGAGACATAAGAAACGGACACAAGAAGCGAATCAAGTTGCAGATCACGAGACCACGCCTGGCGCCCTTCATTGAAGCGTTGCAGATGAGAGATTCAGAAAGAGCGAGGCACAGCGAAAGATGGTGGTCTTTGCAAGTACTCATTGTTGAATTAGTAGTCCACTATTAGAATTACTACAAAAATGTGTCTATCTGAAGTGATTGCTGGAAACCCAGCCATTACGATCGTCTGCAGTCCATTTACACATCTCCCGGTCTGATTGTAAAACGATGGATGCACGAGTGCCAGTATAATGCATGTTAAAATGTGTGAAGTCGCAGGAAGGAAAGACGGCAAATTCACCGTGTCAAAGTGGAATGATGAGGCCTGGCTCCACAAGACACAACTCACCGCCGTCAAATTCACCAATTGGCAAGACAAGGCATACACCGTCATCTTTGCTGTCTCTGTGGGCTCGAGTGACAACGTTGAGGTTGACCACTAGTCCGACGAATGGGCTGACCACCGAGACGTTATTACCAGGTAGAATAGCGGCCGTAGCTTCAAGCCGTTCGTATTCCCCTGGCAAGAACATTTGAAGCTAGAATCGTATACGTTACCCACACACATTGTGATTCAAGATTGCATTGCTTACCTGGTCATCTATCCAACCGAACACGTCTGCGAAGACACTTTTGAGGGACTGGTAGACTGTCTGGTGGTCTTCCATGTCCCTCGACATGTACGGTAAAAATTGACCATGGTTGGTTTGAGTACAACCCGCTCTGCTCAGCAGAGCGGGAGGGATGTCCGCAGGCGCAGAATGTCCCTGTCGAAGAGTTGTCACGAGCGACCAGCTGCAGATCACTGAGGTACATACCTGTGTACAGTGACGGTTGTACCATGAGAAATGGATCGCTTCAAATGTTCGTTCGCCGGTCGCTGAGTTTGCGTCTGCAGTCTTGAAAGGGTCTGAATTGAAGCTTGCAAGGAGACGGTCGATTAGAGTCCGTTTCATGGTATCCGGCATCGACGTGCAGATGCTGGCAACCAACGAGTGATCCACGCCTCGAATGGTTAGGACATCCCTGCTAGAGACGGTGAGTTATTGCACAACAAACACGAGAATGTTACGCACACTATCGTGTTCGTTGGCACACGAATGTAAGCCTCAGGATGGGCTCTCTCCCCGCCTGTGTACGCAGTTTGAAGCTTGGGTAAATATTCTGCAGTTAGCCACGTCCAAGGGAATATCTGTGTTGGACACTATACCTGAGCGTCGAAATCTTGTAGACTTACTGGTGCACTCGCTTTGCTAGCGAGTGAACGCGCGTTCTCTGTCCACGCTATGTTCTGCTCCTTGTCACGGGGGGCGGGATACCGTCTGTTTGTGTCGGTTTGAGCGTCATAGGACGTGAGAATGAGTTGGCCGTGTGGCGATGGAACAGGTTCCGGGGCGCAACTACTATGACGAGAGAGCGGAGATGGTAGCGTCTGCGCCGGAGACAGAGACGATAGAGATGATAAGGGAGACAGAGGAGGAAGGGGAGAGTGTGATGGTGGCCCATCCAGTCTGTCATCCACCGGTTGCAGGGTTTGCACTGACGACGTTGCAACGGCAGGTGAATCGACCAGGACGGCTTGATTGCAAGGCTCCCAAGCAGTATGCATCCTTGGAACAAGTTTGAACGAACTGTAAGAGTTGTGAGCATATGAATGTTAACTTACACTGCTCGGATAGCGACTTACTTGAACTTGAGAGTGTCAAAAAACACATCATTGCGATCCAGGACAAGGGTAGAGGTCGGTCGGCCTGTCTTAGACATTGGGAATAGGTCTTCAAACATCGTCGGGTAGTGCTTTTGTACGAGTGATACAGTTGGGATCACCGTGTCCTTCACCATTCGTCCCGTCCGTGAGTCTGTGTGCTTATTAGTCGACCGCTCTTCTCAGGCTGAAGATGCTTACCATCCGGCCATCGTAGCATGTTGCCTATGTCCTGGGCGGAATGGCCATCAATCGCGCCCAAAGGAACCCTGAGGTTCTGGATGGCGATCATGACTAGTAGATACACTGAGCCTGGCCGATTCATTCTTGTTTAGCACTCATCTAAGACGTTTCTACCGGACTTACCTCCTCCCGCCACGAATGCAAATTTGCTACCCATTGCAATCCAGTCAAGGAATGTTCTCTTCGCGACGGTCTTCTTTTCCTCCAGCTCCGCTTGCCAAATGTCGGTATTGGTGAGGCCGGGTTCAGCCTGTCTCAAGCTTGCAAAAGGACATTGGTAAGCTCATCAACAAAGAAACAGAAGGGCATAGTACGTACTCGCTACAGCGGCATGCAAGCTGGATGAGTCGCAACATGACTACAAAGTCGGAGGTTGCGTCGTCTTTCAAAGCCATTGCGCATCGTTTGGTGAGGTTGGTCAAAGAATCGTCTGCTCGGGCCGCACAACTTTGCGAACCGATTACTGAGACAGTGCCGACGTGCATGGACTTACAGCAGTCCACAACACCCTGAACCGCCAGGTTGCTTGTGAGCTTCGTGAAGAAATTGTGAACAGTGGCCTTCGAGGACTGTGACGGTGCCGTTAGTTGGTCTGATTCCCATACCAGATTCGCGGCGCCCGCATGAGAGAAGTTGAAACCTCCGCGCCAGCACGGCGAGCGGGACCGTCGGCGTAGGACATCTCGGCGATGAGAGGATCGGGGGACTGGATTGCTTTTGTGGCAAGCATACGGTGGTTGAGTAACTCTATGGTGTGACCGCGTCTGCCTGGTTGGTCCAACCGTGCCGGGGCCCGAGGTATCGTCGGCCTGAGTGGTCACTTTTCAGAGTACTGGCATCAAATACTGGACCGCTAATAAAGAAAAGATTAAGCTCACCGGCCCCATTGTCTGCGGTGTTACCATGCTGCACTTCATTCCATAGCCGTCGAGTTTGCGCGCGAGTCTGGCGTTGAGTTGGCACTGAAGACCGAGAAGACCCAGCGGACGTTCCGCTGCCAGGGTCCACTGTACAATGAGACGTTGATCAGTGACGCTGCATCGAAGTCAATTGTTATAAGTACCTGTCTCAATCGGAGGGTTCTTGGGAACATTCGAAACGCCTTGTAATCGTGCCAGCAAGCCTGCCAAGACTTGGTTGAGATGCGTAGTGTTGCTCAGCAGCTGGATCAAACAATTCTGTTCGTCAATAGTGATCCAACAATTGTCGCTGTTGAAACCGGCCATAATCCAAGTAGATGTGAGCTGAGAAAAAAAGCAGTGAGCTAATACTAGATGCTCTGTGTAGCGATACTGATGAGAGGCGCCCAACACTCGTGAGGGCCGAATGAATGCAGTATTTGATTTGAACATCATTCAGAATGAACCACACAATTATATAGACAGCTCAACACAAACTGAGACGATAGGATGGTACAAGCGACAGAACACGACATATACTACACACAGCGATGGAAAGCGATGGAAGACGGAAAACGATGGGACGATGTCAAAGCGACGTGAGAGAATGAGGGCACAACCGATAGATATGTAGACAACAACCGTCCTTCTCCTGACTCCGCATCTAACGCCTAATCCCTCTTCGCCTCGCTCCTCAGAGTACGACCGGTGGCCAGCGAGTAAATGTTGGTGTCGGCGAGAGGTCTCGGCAGCTCAAACGACCTCGCCGAGCCTCCGCTGCGCACTTTCGGTTCTTCATCGTCCGTTGACTCGTCCACAAAATTTTCAGCCTTCAAGCGGCCTGGTACACGACGCGGGGGAGGGGGCGACAGGTTTCGCGGAGGAGTGTTTATGCGTTGTCTCTTTCGAAAGTTCTTGAGCACGTCGGTGTCCCCGTCCTGCTCATGATGGGCCTTCACGCGCTTGAGGCTGTTGAGGATTTGGAGGCATTCCTCGTTTTCCATGGACTTTGTTCGCGGTTTACGATTGTTGTCGGCGCGGTACATGTGGCGGCTCACATCGTCGTGGGCCTTCTGCCGAGCGCCGCCCCAGATGTCTTCTATGAAGAAAGGTATGGGGTTGGGAACGGGAGGCTCAGTGAAGTCGGGGGGGTTCAGGAGGAGTCCTTCCAATTCTTTGATGACGTCATCGGCCAATGTCTTATCAGCCTCGCTGAGCAGCGCGCGTATCCTCTGGCTGTGCGCTGCCTCGCGTATGCTGATGGTGGCCTTTACCCACCGATGGAGCACCTGTTGCAGCGACTGCTCAGCCTCCGATCCCGCTTCGTACTCTTCTTGGATTTGCTGACGGTGTCTATGAGCTAAAAGGCGCGTAAAAAAGGAGGTACCACTCACCACAGCTAAACCCCACACGGTCCAGTCGTGAGAATCGTGATGATGGGTTAGGCCGTACTCGAGTTGCTCTTCATCCTCCGGGAGGAAGACAAACCATTTTGCCCTGAGTCTCGGAACGATTACGCGGTCGCCTCGCTTCCAGCCAGTCGACAAGATGTCGTTGGCACCTCCGGCCCCGCGAATGAAACCGCCGTCGTCCGGCACAGCGTCTGGGCTATTCGGATCGGGATCGATGAAGGGCAGACGTTCAATGTCGATGCCGGTGAAGAGCAGAGGGCTCTGGTCAGCGTCGGGTTCTTTCTTCATGGCAACGAGGAGCTATGAGTTCGATTAGATAATGCTTGATGCGGATGGGATGTAACTCTTAACTCACCTGACTAAGCATGTCGTCCTCGCTTTGCGTGAAGGATGTCTCGTTGACGGACACGTCGCGCGACATGAAAATGTCGCCTTCACGAAGGCGCTTGCGCGTGACGACGCTCACCACGATGTCAGGCGTATGCGCTACGTTGTCGGTGATGAGGCCGCGCTCGAGGTCCATGGTGATCGCTTGGGGTCGTTTGACTTGGATGTTGCCGGAAAGCTGACCGAGCACTGAATCGTTTACGCTTTGGTGCAGGCCCGACGGCGAGTGGACCTTGAGTTTTCCCATCTCGGGGTCGTAGACAAAACTGCAGGCAATTGTCAGTCGTGTCAGTCGGATGAGCCATATATTAATGTAAGCATTGAACTTACGATACACAGCGTAGAAGCAGAGGGTGCGTCTCGATGTAAATCTTCGTGGCCTGCCAATCTTCGGGGCTGATATTCTCGCGCACAACGTAGGTGTCGTAGAGTCGAGGAAAATCTGGTTCGTCCTGGAGGTCGCCAAAGATCTTGTCGGCAAGGGTCCAGTGCTTGATCTGGTCGCTCAGGTCTTGTATCTCGTTGTAGGGCTCGTTACCTTCGTGCTCGGGGCCGATCACCGGGTCGGAGAACGTCAGGCCGCTCGCTGAGGAGGGCGGAGAGGAGAGGGGCGCTGACGGCGGTACGTGAGATCACGGTGATGCGTTCCGATAAGGAGTTCAGTACTTACCTTCCGAGTCTGCTGGCCAAGTATAGAAGTGGGTACCCGTAGGGAGAGGCTTTGTCTGTAAGCTGGGGGAGAGATTGTAGTCAGTGACGTGGTCGTCGTCTGAACCGGATGCAACACCGGGAGAGGCGATGTGGGGACCGCTACCCTGAACGTAGCGTAAAGAGGACATTGGTGAATCGTGAGTATGAGGGGACTGACAGGAAGAAGGCGTGTTATGTGACACACGGGATTCGGGATGGGACACCGACAATATTCCCATGGGCGCCACTAGAATCTAGCCACCAAGGCCGGCAGCCCAGTCCCTCATAGAATGCCGGCTTCGTATTGAACACGAGCTCGAGGAAGTCGGCAAGAAGCCTCGCAATTAGACCGTGTATCGTCCAATGACGATACGTCCACGCGTGCGTTCCGTATACCGCTGCCTCCTTGTTGGCTCTGCCAAGGACGGCGATTTGTCCGGCTTATCACCTCAGTTGCGCCAGTGCTGCTCGTGTGCAACTGACAGCTGCGCGCACCCCCCATCTCGGCAAAGGTGGAAGCCCAATCTATGCTCGCACATAACAGTCCTTACAATGCACGCACTGCTCACAGAGTATGCGGCCGGTGCGCGTATTTTCCTTATTGGGGATGATTGCGGCGTCGCCGCAATCATCCCAATAAGGAAGGCCCTTCAAGTCAATAGTGGATCGAATGCACGTACCGGTGAAAGTAAGAGCACTATTGCACACCGTATGTTCTGTGAATCACGATGTTATCTGTGTGCTCACCTGCAACCTCAGTGTAGAGGATCCAGCACAGTCGTGCTTGCGTTAGGCACGCAGCAGAGGCTGAAAACCTTTCCAGCGCGGTATCAGTTGATGAGTATGCGCACGGTATGCGCACGGTGAGTTTAACAGATCAGACACGCACCAGGACAGAACGGTCTGCGGAGGTGATTCACACTTACAGAGAAACAGCAGGTGGAGGGTCAAGAACGTTGTGCTTGGAGGCAAGCATGCCTGACTGTAACGTGCCTTACTCAATCCCGCAGATACAGTGCACCAATCTCCATTGAGAAGTGCGATGTATCCGGAGGACGACGAGTTAAAGGACTTGTCCTTCAACTCGCCGGGCGACGACCTATAAAGGTACGACGCCAAACACACGCAAACGTATATACATACAAACATATCGATCCAATAAGTCCATAACGGGATTACACACGTCCATACGGTAACGTCCCGTTACACTCCTCCTCCCTGGACTCGTCCACGGGTCCACGATAGTAGAGTATGCGCGAATATATAAGGTCATTGGACCGTGATGATGAGGCGAAGCGACAGGATGACGACGGCGACGACGTGAGTGCCGACGGCGACAGCCTGCGCGGTGAGAGGAATGATGAGGTGAAGGCGCCAGCGACGCGCCGGCCAGTGAGTCTATTGCGGACGGAATTGAAGAGACGGGAATGTTCGCGACGCCGTGATCGAGAAGTACAACGCGCCCGTAAGTGCGGGGTACAGCGACGATATGGTACGTGTCGAGCAGCCTGACGATCGAGACGATCAGTCAGAGTGGCCAGAAGGACCATCCCCCGGGTGGTTCTCATCAGGAGGAGGTGCATCCGCGGCAGGCTGGGGGTTCTCCTCAGCCTGGCCGTCTCCCATGGGCACATCCACAACCGTTGTCGGGATGTGCACCGTAGGCGGGATTGCCGGCAACTGCGCGATATCGGGCACGTCCACGATGTTGACGTCGCCCGGACTCATGGGAAGGTGCTGAAAGGGGCACCCTCATCCAGAGGCCGGCTCTCGTGAATATTGCGGCGTCGCCGAGCGTAGTCCGTGAGGAACTGTGCCTCGCCGGGCTGGATACCCATGCGGGCGAACCACCGCGCTGCATCATAGATGGTAGCGTTGGAGGCGTTCCACGCGTACGGGATTGTCGCTCGTCCGTCGCCGATGGGATAGTGTCCGTTCTCGACGATGAGACCGTACAGCCCTTCAATGGAGAAGAGCTGAGCGACAACGATATCCCAAGGCCTTCGTCCGTTGGGGGATCGAGGTGCGAGGCGGCGTATCAGATGCACCGCCTCGGCATCGTCGACGTTAGGCTCGCCGTCCTCTACACGCACCCCATCGGGTATGTTGTGTGGGTAGAGGCGGTACCAATCCACCCATCGACTGACCGGGTCTTGAGGGTCAGGCTGCGGCAGTCTCGCCTTCTTGGTGGGCGGCGCACGCATATGGCTGCCTGCCTCGGCGTCAGCGCGACGCTTCGTCGATTTTGACAAAGCCGGTGGACCACTGGCAGTGGACGTGGGTACGGTAGTCGTCGTCCGACTGCCAGAGGATCCGGCACCAGGGGTTCCCGCTGGTGGTGCAGCTGCTCGCCTCCGTTCCTCTTCTCGACTCTCGCGAACGGCACGCTCGATGTTGCGGACCTCATCCGCGTCGATCTCGGCATCACGTCCACTGGTGGGCGTGATGACCGGAGTCGCGCGCGGAGGACGCCAGTTGCTCACGAGGTGATACATCCCGTCGACGTATCGCAGGCCCGCGTCGTCGTGGGTCTGGTGGATCAAGTCCCGGACCCGGAAAGCGGCCTCCTCATCCCCGGCCTGTGCGACGCGCAACAGATTGCGTCCGTCCACGTCGCGGCGGGGGATGAAGTTGTGCCATTGTCCGGCGCGTATCACCAGCGAGTTGGCCGGTAGCGGTACGTCCTCGGGCCATCCTTCAGGAGCGACCGGCGGCGCACCCGTACTGGATATGTACTGGGTACGACCGTCGTCGGTTCCCGTCGTCTGCGGCCGCGAGACCGGTTTCCCCTTCGCCCTCTGCTTCCCCTTTGCCTTGCTAATCCGCTTCTTCTCCTCTTCTTCGTCTACGTCATCGTCGTCGCTCTGGTCCTCGTCCCATCCTCCGGGTTGCATCATGGCGGGCAGCGCAGGCGGCCTGCTTGGTGCCGGCGGTGGGACGGTCCTTGACTCAGGCGCAGACCGTGGCGGCGGCGGGATGACGGGTACTGGGGAGCGCGTTCGTGGCGGAGGGGGGGCTGGCTGTGTCCTCTCTGGCACAGTCTGCCTCGTCCTCGGCTCGGACCGTACTGGCTGCGCCGGTTCCGGTGCAGCGTTCCTGGTCCTCGATTCAGACCTCGACGAAGCCGGCAGCTCCGTTCGGGATGCTGTCTGCTTCGGAGCCTCGTCTTCGGCGGGCCCATCTCGTTGGCCTTTTGACGCTCTTTCTCCTTTGCTCGGTACTCGCTGAGCTGGCGTTGAGCGTCGTCGAACTTGTCCTCGAGGTACGTGAGGGAGGCGTCCCGCCTGTCTACGCGGTCTTCGAGCTCTCGGACTTCCGACCGGAGTGCTTGGGCCGCGTCTTCGCTCTGATGGAGTCGAGCTCGCGTTTCGGCCAATTCGTCCTGGGCGCGAAACGACCTCTGCTCCAGTTGGTCGTACTGACGCTGGAGAGAATCTACCAGCTCCCTCCCCCCCTGAGCCAACCCCTCTGAAGGAGGTCGGCTTCAAAGCGGGCCCGGATCTGGGCCTCCACTCCGTTGACGGCCACACCGAAGCTCGCGTCCTCGTTCTCCGACCGAGGGAGGTGGGCGAGGTACGCGTCGCACACGGTGCACGACCCCGGGGTGTGGATTACCAGCGGAGCTGGCGGGTGACGTGGCACCCAAGTCTGCGCGAACGGGGCAAACAACGACGACGAGCCACCCACAGTCCCGAATTGGTACTGCGGTGTGACGGGGTCGTCGCGTAGTCCGCGCGACTCACGCGCCTGTTGACGAGACGCGTCGATGGTTGGCACGCCGTGCCCAGCCACCCCAATAGGCGGCGGTTGGACAACGGCGTCCGATGTCGAAGTCACCGTTGGCGGCGACTGCGGGCTTGAAGTCGACTGAGTCGCCGACGGTGCCACCACACCAGTAGGTGCGGCGACACGCGGGGGCTCGTCGGTGTTCATGGGCGAGGATGGGCGGGACATGGTGAAGTCGGTGTTGTCGTGGTTTGACGTGGAGAGTTGAAGTTTGGGAGAAGGTGAGTGCAGCCACAGCGTATTGAGGCGATTGCCACATCATGTGACTCCTGACGGCGCGTCACTGCCCGATTGGGCTTTGACGCGTCTTCTGGGCGCTACACTCTCTTCTCGCCGCCACTTCAAGTCCAGTACCACCACTGCTTCGAGTGGTGGTGCTCGCTTCGAAGTGCCGCCTTCGTGAACGGTCGTACTACCCCATTAGTGGTGGTAGTGCGTCGTTCTACGCCCTGGGTTTCCGTGGCAGCTTCTTCCAGTCCTTGACGCCATGTAGTGTCAAGTACTCGTCGAGCGCTGCGAGGTCCTTACAATTGGCATACGGTTCCCAAGTGCAGTCTCCCAATGTCCACCGGACGTGGAATTTGATGCGCTTGCCGTCCCAGTTGTGGCCTATGATTTCGTCGACGAGCCATTCCTGTTCTTCGTCGTCGCCGAAGTCATAGTACGACCGTGCCTCCCGGTGAGGAAACATTGAATCATCATTCGGTTCGTGTCTCCTTAGGAGGGAGACGTGAAACGTCGGATGGATTCTACGGTCACGTAGTTCCTTCGGTAGTTCCAGCGTGTAGTTCGACGTACTCGGATTACACGCCGCTACCTTGTATGGTCCAATAAACTTGGGCATCAGTTTCCTAGCACGGCCGCGAGGCAGCGCCAGGTTCTGCGTACTCAAGTATACTTGCGATCCTACGTCGAACTCAGGTTCCTGCTGACGGTGCTTGTTGGCCTGGAACGTCTGGTGCACTCGACTTTCAATGATCGCGTCGTGTGCCATTTCCAGGTAACATTGTGCTCGTTGGGCGAATTCACGAACACCTGCATATGTGGTGCTCGTGGAGAATCCGTTCAACATGCGCGGCATGTACCCGTAGTTGAGCTCGAACGGTGCGAATCCCGTCGTCGCGCTGGTGGATGAGTTGATAGCAAACTCCGCGAGGGGTATGTTATCCACCCAATTCAGCTGGTCCGGCGACACCATGGAGCGTAGGATCTGGGATACGGAGCGGATGGTCCTTTCCGACAATCCATCCGTCTGGGGATGGAATGAAGTGGACATCAACAACTTCGCACCCAATATGCGATGAACTTCACGCCAAAATTTTGACGTGAATTTCGAATCGCGGTCCGATACGATGGATTCAGG